TATTGCAGGAATCTAACAAAAAGTGTCCCTGGAATAGTCCCAGATTAGCTGGAGGCAGAGAGAGTCCAAAGTTCTGCAGGTGGAAGAGGTCGAGGAGGGCAGGTGGGGTGAAGGGGTGAGTCGAGGAGAGGGAGCCAGGCGGGGTGGCAGAGGATAAGAGGAGAGGCGAACTGTGAAATCCAGGTAGGTTATGGTTCTTGCCAGGTGAGTAATCCAGTACTGGTTCCGCTTCTTGGATGGAGGATCAGATCCAACAAACCCAGAGCGTCAGGGAAGGTTGTCCAAGAATCCTGGAGAGAAATACAAACTTGAGTCCAAAAAGATCCAACACAAGAATCCAGGAATTATCCAAAAATTTCCAATAACTGTAACAGCAAATTATCAGAGTAGAAACCAAGCATTATCCTAGAACGAGAGGCCAGATACTACCGTGAGTAGCTAATCATCCAGCGAAGTGTAGTAGTTCCCTCTCCTCTTAAATAGAGCTCTGCTGCGGATGACCTGAGAAGCTGCAGCTGCCGCTGATTACTAATGCCCCGCAGCTGGCGAGTTCCCTCTCCTGAAATGAAGAACTCAAAGATGTTATAGAGATGGAGGAGTACTCACCCAACCACACAACAATAACTAGCGTCAGACACAGAGCAGCTTGAAGAATACCTCGCGAAAAAACTCTAAAAACATGAACGTTTAATTCCCCGTGACTGGAGGAGTGAAAAGATGCGCAGCAAGCGTTTTACTTGTGGACGGAAATGACAGGAAACGTGGGTTTAGAGGTGGCGAGTGCATGAAGAGGTGGAGGAGAATGAGAGAAAGTTGTCTGTGTTAAAAAGTCTCTTATATACAAAAAAACACAATATAAACACAATATCTTGGACCGATACATGACAGGATACCACAGAACAGCGGTACGCCCTCTGTTGTCCTGCCGGGGAATTGCTTTGCAACGCTCCCCAGGAGACGGAGAAGTATGAGAGCAAAACATCTCCGTTCGTGCGTGCGTGTCTGTCCCTGTTGGAGCTGATGGAGAAGCATGAATCAGGCGTAACGCTCACAAGGCCACATCTGAGGGCTGTAAAAAAGTTTAAATTGAATAATTTCTAGCAGTCATCTAATTAACTTGCCCATAACAAACTAGCTTATTGGGTTGCTCTGCGTAACAGATTTGACACATGTGAATGCAAATTAATTGCCAGATACAGATGTTGACGGCTGGCTGGTGCAATCGTAATACATTTGTGGAGAAAATGCATGCATAGCTAATCGTTCTGCTTTGCAAGCGTGAATGTGGTGCAGTTAGTGAAAACCATCTCAAGAAAAGCTGTGAATAGTGTTTTCTTTTCATAAATGAAGGGAAATCTGAAATTAAAGGCAAAATCCAGACACAACATGCTCTGATTAACTTTCACAGGCAAGCAGGCATGATCTTGGCTCTGCTCAACCGTCCTTCTTCTTGTTCCAGCTCCAGTTTCGCACCTTAAATCCACCTCGGCACCAGTGTTGGGCAAGTTACTTCAAAACTGTAATGCATTATTTATTACTTGTTACCCTCATTTTAAAGTAATTCATTACATTACAATATTACTGATTTTAAAATGTAAGGCATTACACTACTTTTGCATTACTTTAAGTTACTCTCACCAAAGCAACTTCAATATGAATCTGTAATCTGGCGCTCAGTGAGCTCATGACATATATGTGGAAAGTGATGTGGTGTCTGAGCTAGGATTGCTGTTAAAAACAGTCAGATATAATAACAGTGCTTTAAAATGGTTGTTTATTAAATGCATGCAACAACAATCTGTACTCTCAGCATGCTGCCATCTTATAGGGCCATCTGAGCAGGGAGTGAGGTGGTGGGGGCTCCAAGCCTATATTTGCCTTGGTCCCCAAATGCCTTGATACGGCCCTGGATGTGGGACTGACTTCTGGGGTGATCTGATTCTATCACATGTATAAATATTAAATGCTTATATATTATTGCTTTTCACTGGTAAAAAAAATGTGTGTTGGGGATAAATCTACCTTTTTTTTCTTTTTTTCTTGATTTCATTTGAATAATTTCCTGCCCTTTCTCTCTCTAACCTTCCTGCATGCTGCATGTTTTCTCCGTCTTCCAGAAAAAACTGTTTCCTAGACTTCCTACTTTCTAACGATCAGCCAAAGGGATCTTCACATGCGCGGCGCTCCAGCAGTAATGAGTTGAAATCACCGGGGCACAGATTATGAACTCAGCTGAGGCAAAGCACGTCAGAAAAGCACAAAATACCAGAGAACATGCGCTGATATGACCGATCGCAGGTGAATTATTTTGTTTTAGTGGAGCGATTTTGTGAATGTTGCAGCGGCCGCGTGCAGGACGCAGCTGGAGTAGTTGAGCCGTTACCGCGGCGTCCTCTCTGCCCGCAAAGCTGAGTCCATAAATGACGTAATATATGCAGATACTGGATCTTTCTTCGGGTTTCCTGCAATTTGAAATTTTAAGGAACACATCTTGATTCTGGGTTTAAAAATGCATTGTAATTACCGCGTTACTGACAATTGTACCGAGTAAATATTACCATTTTCTTTCCCTGTAATGCCTTACATTACCACATTACAGCAAAAAGCAATGCATTACAGTAATTAATTACTTTTGTACTGCATTACTCCCAACACTGCTTGGCACACTAAAATGATGCAGAACCAGGATAATCTGGGCTTTGAGTCTCAATACACCACCAGTGGGTGGCAAAGTGACCAATAGAGTGGCTTATATGCTAGAATACCATCAATACCCATGCACATACGGACCACTGGAGTGATCACGATGTATGAAAGGGTTAAAGTTCAACCTTTGCATGTGTGCAGTTGCAAAGATAGAACGTCTAAAACAAGCTCTTTTCCTGTGGAAGAGTTTCTGATGGGGGCAGATTTCCTGTTGGTTAAAGACTCATCTGAGACTCGAGATTGAAGGAGGCCTCGAGTGCTCCTTGAAGGCAAAGCAAAAGAGCAAATAGAAGATCTGTTGTTTTGCTTTATTGTGTGAGGAAGAGATTCAAGGTGGGATCAAGTTGGTGGAAAGTGACTGGAAGACAAATGTGTTTTATTACCTTTCCAATAAAAGTTGAATTGAAGCCACAGAAGGAAAGGATTGCACCTGTGGGGTCCTGTAGTTGTTGGAGTCATCAGAAAAAGAAGCATTTTTTAAAATCAAACTCCTGATCTGTTGACCCAGTGTTTCAGTTGCAGTTAGAGAATGTTGTCAGTGTGCAGAAAGCTGAAGAAGTGCCCTGAGGCCTTCAGGAAAAAGGTTGAGAATGCCTGAAGAAACGTTCAAAGATCTCTGAGAAAGCATTTATTAACGTCAAGTTGTGCAAATTCCCTCAGAAAATTTAGGAACAACATTTGAGTTAAAAAATTAAAAAGGTTTGCAAATCATTTTTAAAGCAGTCACAGCAGCAGCAAGGCTATTCAGCCTGATGCAATTCACCAAATCTGGCCTAGACCCAGAGTTCCTTCCCGCCAAGGCGGATGTGCTACAGATACCAGGCTTCTGATGCCCCACCAAACAACGAGTTCACAAAGCCTCCACCACCCCACTTGTAAAAACCGAACAGCGGTCCGGTGTCCTACGACCGCTACCAAAGCCACATAGTGATGAGAGTAGGCTGCGGTATCATAGCTGGGACCAGGCAGGCTGGATCGTGAAATGAAAAATGAAATGAAGTGAAAAGCTTTATTTGTCCCAGGGAAGGGAAATTAGAGTTTCAGTACACACAATTCAGAGATCAGACATACTGGGCAAGACACATGACAAGAATTGGTGACTGTGGTCATTCGCAACCGAGTCGCGCTACCTTAGTAGAGAGAGAAAAGGATAACATGAGGAATGGATTTGGGAGGAGGGAAAAAATAGGCACTTCACAGCTACTCTCCCCCCAGGAGGGCAGCTTTGCACTGCGAAAAAAAAAAAAACACCTCAACAGATAAGCAACAGATAACACAACACAACATCACAATAGGAAGGCAGGGGGGGCTGGGATCCTGTTTCCCCCAGCGAGAGCAGCCATGTACGGCGCTCAACTACTGTAGACCACAGGTGGGAGGGAGATCCTGGGAGGAACGCAGAGCACATTGACCCTGCAGGTTGATGACCTCGCTAGGCAGAAGTCCACAATCTGAAGGCGGGGTGAAGGTCGGGTTTTTCACAGCATCTGTCTGCATTTCTTCCTTCGTGGGGGTTGTTGTTGTTAGCATCTTGAAGGCTGCCTTGGTGTCAGATTTGGATAACAAGACTTTGTTTGGGTCAGGCAGAGATGATTTTCCTCTCTGCCTTCAGTCTGTAACTGGTCATTCCAGTCCTTCAGTGAAGCCAATTTAGGTTTTAAACATCTCCACACCATCCGGTGACCCTCTCCGAGATGACATCCATTTTGCGCACTAACACCGGTAACGCAGCTAGGACATTGTCCAGCTTACGATTCACCTCGAGTAACGTCCCAGTCTGTGAGGTCTCCGCCCGGGCGGTGCTTCCCGTGGGTGCGGGTCGCCCTCCAATCGCTCCCGTCTTCCCAAATTCCCAGAAAACCAGATATCCTCCCACTCCAATCAGAAGAAATCCAGTGATCATCACTTTATTTTGAAGACAGTTTTTGTCGTAATAGCCTATTGATGGAATCTATTTTGTTCACACTTGAAGACCAACAACCCCACATGTTTTGTGAAGCCGAGTCTCTGGAGAAAGTTTTTTTTGTACTGAGTTGGCTTTTTGTAAACCAGCACAAACAAATCATTTACTTGTCAGAAGAAGTTATTTTTTGTACATTAAACACAAAATGCAAAACTAAAAAAGATGGATTTAGTTTGATGAAGAGAGAAGCTTTGAGGCCTGCGATTGTTTTTGCTCTCCCAATTGTTTGTTCTGTTTCAAACATAAAGCAAATCAATACACGGACCTCATTAAGTAGATCTGAAGTAAACATTCAGAAAGAAATCCCTAACTCTTCCCTTTCCCTCTGCAGCCGACAGCATCCAAGGACATCCGAGTGTGTTTTTGGAAGGTGATCAGTCTCATGGTCAGCAGGCTGAGATGAAGACTGAAGGAGGAGGTGGAGGAGGCCGTAAAGCCAGCGTGACCAGCGTGGAAAGTGAAATATCAATTTGCTCCATGAGTCGGCTGGGAGACACCATCGCCAACAGTGAGTGGGAGGGAATTAGAGCAAGAGAAAAGGAGCTCACTGGCCTTAATGTTATGGAGACAAATTTGACCTAAAAGGTTTTACATGTTTTCAGATGGCACCATGTGTCTTTAAAGAGCAAGTCACCCCCAAATCACATTTTTTTTTGCTGATAAACTATATAAAGGAGTGTCTGATCGTGTTACAGACACGTGTAGTCAATAATTTGGCAGTTCAGTGCATCTTGGTTAAAATTCAAATATTCTGCCTAAAACTGTCAGTGTTGCGCCGTCGTCAGGGAAAAATTCTGCACTGTATTTGAATTTAAATCTGCCACCGCTATTGGCTAAGAAGTATGCTATGATGTCATCTGGTACATTATGATGTCACAATGCCATTGTGAGCCTGTGTGTGTGTATTTGTAAGCGGCTCTGCCCTCCCGGTCTGCCAAGCAACAGCATTTGTTGCATTTTTCAAACATGAAATGGGAGTGAAGTAAGTTTCTTGTAGGGGGTGACTTGCTCTTTAACTTCATGTGTTTCAGTTTCCAGCAGCTGGTGGGGCTCCAAGAGGCTGGACTATGCTCTGTACTGCCCCGATGTGCTCACGGCATTCCCAACAGTGGCGCTACCACACCTTTTCCACGCCTCCTACTGGGAGTCCACTGATGTCATCGCTTTTGTTCTTCAGCAGGTAGGTAACCTTCATGGATTGTTTTCTCACTAGTTGCAGACACAGATTTGCAAGAATCATGATGGAATCATGCAGAATTGTCAAGTACAATGCTTTTGTGGCAAGCTTCATATTCATGCCCAAGTGAAGTGTTTCACAAAATTGGGAACCAGTCACTACATTATCTTTAAATATTCCTGTCACAATTTAGTCAGCAGTCATTCCCAAAGTTGTCACATTTCCTGTACTTTCAGACTCACAGAAATTAGAGGTGCCATATGTAAGGATGATGTGAGAATGACATCCTGTGGTCAAATTAGGTTACTGCAGCCCATTTTTCTAAGCAAAAAGTTACTTTCTCACTGCCGTTCAGAGTTTCATGGATTTTGCCAGTTACGGATCAGTGGCAGAAGATTTTAGATGACAAGCAAAGATGAGTCAAACAGTAAGTGTATGATGTTAGCACTCTTGGGTGTTTTATGGTAGGGAGCACTTACTACCCTTATTATGGTAATACGTCCTCAGCAATTGAGGAAGTGAGGTTATTTGCCATTTTGCTGTTAACTTGCAGTTATCATTCTGAATACTCAACTAAAGGAAGTAAAGCACCACATTTGAGTCATTATTCTCTTCACACATACATTTCGCTGTAATAATTAGTTGTTGGTAATTGAAAAAGTAGCTTGAGATATTTTTAGAGCCAACTATTTTCTTCTGATTCACTGTTAGCATTATTAGACTCAACGTTAGCCTCTAGCCTCTACTTCACATGATATTAGAGTAAAATTAAAATATGTCGTGGCTACTTAGGGGTACAAGAAATAACTCCTGGGTCGCTCCTGTTTACTGGCTTTGGTTCTTTAAGTAACTGTGGAGCTTGTTTCCCGGTGTCAAGGGTTTTTCATTCCTGGATGCTAAATAAACAACAGCTTTTCCCAGTTACCAGCGAAAATGTGGAGTCCATGAATGCTGATTGTCAGTGTGACATAGAACTGTCAGGCTTTTCAAATCATAGAGTTTCACCTTTGAGCAGAACGAATCCTCATTGACCACACATTTTCACACATAATGTTTGTTTATTGTTATTCTGCTCATCCAGAACGTTTCACAAACTAAAAGAAACAAACAACTAGTGTGTATTTTCCTGTAGCTTATGAGGTGTGACTGTGTGAAGACCCAGGAAGTGGACAACTTGGACTCGGCTTCGTTCTCCCCATCCAGCCCTCGTGAGAAATGGCTCAGGAGGAGGACACATGTGAAATTAAGGGTATGTTTAATCTGTAATTAGTGTTTTTGATTCAGTTTACTCAAAAAAACTCAGAGATGCATCTAGTTTTTAAAACATACCCATCATAACATACACTGTAAACATGATTAAAAACTGAGTTCAGTGATACGTTTGACATCAGAACATTTTCTATATAGTTTATCTGATCTGGTTCTGGGATTATCACATCATCTAAACATATATTTTATGTTCCAAGCAGCCATGATGCCTTTCCTTCACTCAAACTATAGTTATTATAAGCATCGAGATTATGGAAGTTACAGGATGTGGCCGGAATATTTTATAATTCTTTCACATTTTTACCTTGAAGCTCTGAAGCACACGTAGTCACGCGATGCCTTTGAGCCTTGACAAGTGGAACAATCAAGGTTACTCTTTTTTTATCTTACATACAAAAAATTAGTGAGTGCTGACTTTTCAGGTGGCTAAAAATAGACATGCACAAGAAGAGCACCATGGAAACTAAGCTGTATTTGAGTGTGAAGGTGTTCTCATTTAGTGTCGTTCAGCTCGGCTAACTGATGCATTTCTGATGTCTGTGCTCATAGCTGTTGCCTTGTTCACGTTTAGTTGATTTGGTCTGTGCTGCTGGGAGATCTGCTGCAGTTCAGACACAATTTAGACTGTCCAGACAAACGTTTTTAATTGGATAAGAATATTTTGTTCCTGCTGGAGGGCGATGATGGAGAATCTGCTGTTTGTTTTCAAATAACTCGCCATTTTCCCTGTTAATGGACATTAAATATGAGGTCATCAATCAATCAATCAATCAATCAATCAGATTTTATTTATAAAGCAATTTTCAAGCAAAGTGCTACTCAAAGTACTTTACAAAATGACCCCAAATTCCCATAACAGTTTAAAAACATTAACTGAGACACACACACACACACACACACACACACACACACACACACACACACACACCAGTAAAAATTTATATTCGGCTGAGTCCAGATGAGCCAAGTACGGTAAGGCAAGGAAACGCATCAGAGGAGCCGTCAATTATTAAATGCTGCAACCTTGCAGCACAAAGCTGCACACGGGCGTGTTTTGTGTGTAGCGTGATCAGGTTTAGTTTTGTTGTCATGGAATCAGCGAGACCTCCTGCTGACAAGCACTTAACTGTTGACAAATCCGATGCAGGAGAACAGCTGGAAACGTCGAAGCTTCTTGTTTGGTGTCACATCCTTTAGATCAATTATCATTAGCTTTGGGTACGTGCAACAACAACATGATTGATCACTTTAGCACTTTGCAGTTTTAGCTAAAGGCGGAAATTCTTATATGATGTGTCATCAAAAGTAGACAAAATTTTATCCCAGCCAGTTCTTCCAGAAGGACGTTCTACTGGTAAAGTTTGATAAAGCTGCTCCTTTTTGCACTAGATCGCTTCATAAAACAGCCAGACTTGTGACAAATGATGCTGTTGTGAGGTTTTTCTTTATATCAGACTTTTATATGCAGGATCTTCACATTTATGTGCAAAAATAGCTTTTAACTCAAATTTTCAGCTTTCCACATAAAAACCCCTATTGTCCCAAACGAAAAGAGTAAGTTGCATGAAAGGAAATATCCTCTTTATGTTAAAAATAAACTTATCTTTAGAAAGAGAAGAATAAATCAGAAAACTGTAATCTAATTAAACTTTATGCACATATAAACTAAGTTTATTAATTTCATTTTTTCCCCTTTGCACAAAACACGAGACAAACTGGTGTTTTGTACTAGCAAAACCAGCAACTGTGTATGCATCTTAGCCTGATTTTCAAAATAACGTCGCAAAAGGAAGTAAATGCTGTGGTAAAACGTATTTCCACTCATCGAGTGTGAAGTGGATTCTAAAAGGTAGCATTTGCGAGTTTAAAGAGAACATGTATGAGCGGGGCTTTTCAAAACCTTACCATGATGAAGTGAAGGGTGTAGAGCTGGAACCGGAGTGGATCTCAATGGAAAATGAATGCCATGGAGGCTCACAACTGAAGTTGTGAATCATAGATTAGAGCGCTGATAATATGCTAATAAAATGCAGCCATCGCTGCTAGAGGAGATTTAGGGATTAGTGTTTCTCTGCTGGCTGTCTTAAACAAATTTCAAACAAAAAGCAGACGTGGAAGCTTAAAAGAGTTAATGCGATTTTCTATGAGGTCCCACGGAACGTGTTTAAGTTATTTGACTAGACTTTTAAATCTGAAAACAAAACTGATCAAAGCCACGAAGACTTTCAGTATTTACCCTCGTAATGTGTGTTTACAGGGAGCACTTGGAAAGGCAAGCCTTGAAACAGCAAAGGGTTTTACACTGAAACCTTGTGACAACAAACGTCTCCTAAAGCATGCTCATTAAAGATTAGTGCTGTGTTAAATACTGGATTTATTGTAGGTGTATTTAGTAATTGAAGTTTATTTAAAAGTATAGTTACAGTCATGAGGGATCAGGACTACAGTGAAGAAACAGAGGCTGGTTCCACACAGATGTCAGGGGACTCACGACCTCAAATGAACCCCAACTCGAGTGACTCGAAAACAGTCATAATCATCAGACTTTGGATGAATGTCTCTTATGCTACATCTTCTCAGGTGCTACAGGTGCTGGCCATAAAATTAGAATATCATGACAAAGTTGACTTGTAGGGCTTTCCAGTCGGCTTATGAGTCCCCAGAAGAGAATTAAAATTAATGCACGTCAATGGAGCTAAAAAAGCTGTTTTCTAATCCACTTTGCTTCACGCCCTGAATTACACACATGTTGTACTTCAATTCAAATGAAAAGTCTTAATTTGTGTTTTGACCACACCTGTCATGTACTTAGAGATTTATCAGCTTGTAAATGTGTTTTATTATAAGCTAAAACCAGCCGGGTCAGAAGAATGACTGAGCTGGTTAGAATTATTTTTTTCCATTCATCTAACTCTGGGAAATATGTCAACAGACAAATTTTAAAATTTGCGTGGGATATCCCTTTAATTAACTGAATAGAGTGTAGCAGCAGGGGTCTTCAATATTGATCCTTATAATATTGTAATATTCTGAGAATTTGGTATTATTTCATTAGTTATCGGTCCATTGTATTCCAATTTCTTGGAGTGATGTTCGATGAGAGTCTCACGTGGAAATCACATGTAGGTTATATAAAGGGGAAAATCGCCAACGCCATAGGTGTATTATATAGAGTCAAGTTTCTACTAAATTTGTCGTGGTTGTTAACATTGTATCACTCACTGATTGAACCATATTTATTTTATTGTTTAGAAATTTGGGGAGCCACTTGCAAAACTTTTACACAACCATTGTTCATTTAGCAAAAAAGAGCATTGAGAATCATTAAGAACAGTAACTATAGAGATCACACTAATCAATTATTCATTAGATACAAAATACTGAAATTTCCAGACTTGGTAGAGTGGAAAATATTGCAAATAATGTACAGAGCGAATACGAGTAATTTACCAACTAATATTCAGAAAATGTTTCATAAGAGAGTAAGTGGGTACATGTTAAAAGGAACTGATGTCTTTAAGAAACCTAGATTCAGAACCAAAGTGAGGGAATGCAACATTTCTGTAAATGGTGTAAGATTGTGGAATGCCATTAACAAGGAATTTAAAGAATCAACTACACTTGCTATATTTAAAAAATGCATAAAATCTAATGTATTTAGTAATTATGAAAAGGTGAATTATAATGTCAAAGATTAGACATGAAAATATTAGAAAGTGACTGAGGTTATACTGTGTTTGTTTGGCGGATAATTTTATTTCATAAAAAGGGGCAGAAATCCTAAGATTTTTTCTTCTATCTGCTCCTTTTCATTCAAATGTTTTTTTTCAATATGCTAATGTATGTTGTATTTGTTTGTGTTTATTTGATACATTGTGAATGAAATAAAAGATAAAAAAACTAAACATATAAGTCTGTATGTAATGAATTAATCTAAAATACAAGTTTCACTTTTTGAATGGAATTACTGAAATAAATCAACGTTGTCATGATTTTCTACTTTTATGACCAGCACCTGTGTATAGATAAACACCCAAGGCTTCTAATATTAAACCCACATTAAAATACCATCATAATGCTGTCTATGTGCACCAAATTAATCTGTGCAAAGTGTTGGTTTTATTTTACATTTAACATAAAATATCTTCACAGTAATTGAATATTAATGCCCTGTTGACTAGCTCAGGTTCTGTTGTCAACCCTGTAAATACACAGTCAGCAAATTTTAAGATAAAATAAGTAATAAAAGCTTTGTTTCTTCACACCAAAGTCACTTGTAACAAAATGATCCTAAATCTACGTTTTTGAAGCTTTTAATGTTGCTGAGCTTTGTGCCTCATCTGTGCTCATGTTGTCATAAACTGTAGAACGTCACAGCCAACCACAGGGTGAATGACGTCATCGCCACCGAGGACGGACTGCAGATGTTAGTTGGTCGCTTCATGTACGGCCCTTTGGACATGGTCACTCTGACTGGAGAAAAGGTGAAACACGTCTGGGCCGTTAGGATTATCACTGCTGAAAGAGGCTGACATTAATTTCTACCTGTTGAACAATTTCCCTCCACTCAGGTCGACATCCTGGTGATGACACAACCACAGTCTGGCCGGTGGGTGTATTTTGACACTGAGGTGACCAACAGCAGTGGCAGGGTCACATACACCATACCTAAAAGCAAAAAGCTTGGCCTGGGGGTCTATCCAGTTAAAATGGTGGTCAAGTAAGTGAAAAACGCCAGAAGGAGGAGTGTACTTAGGAATCGCATTAGTATATTCAGCTTTTTGCTAAAGAATGAGTCTGCTTTTCATCATTTGTCATCTGAATATTACTTTTTTTAATTCTAAGAGGGGATCAGACCAATGCAGAGGCCTATCTGACTGTGTTGCCAAAGGGGATGGAGTGTGTGGTCTTCAGCATCGATGGATCATTTGCAGCCAGTGTGTCCATCATGGGTAGCGACCCCAAGGTCCGACCAGGAGCCGTTGATGTTGTCAGGTAATCGCTCGTTTGCTTCTGAGGTAAAACATGTGTTCATGGGTTTGCATGAGTTTCACTTAAAATATATGTATATATTTTATTATTATTATTATTATTATTATTATTGGAACAGGACTGTACAGAACACTGTGCAAAAACCTAGTTTGGACGTCTTACAGACGTGGTCTGGACCGACGGACTCAGTATAGACATGATCTGCACGTCCATGTGACGTTGACTGTTTGTAGGGAGGTGTTCAATTGAAAAACTTCAAATAAAACAAAAATTACTAGATTTTTGTTTCTTAAAGTTTTTATCCTTAATATCCGTCGGAAAAAGAATTAAATGATACCCAGTTGTAGAAAAATATTGGAGGCTTCGTAATATATAGCCATAAAAATCAGGTCAAAGAGACATGGGAGCGGGTCTAAGAATCACATTAGATGCCGTACTCTTTGGGAGCCCCGTGAGGACAAAACGCATTTACAAATTTGTAACAAATGGTTACAAAACTTTCGCCGTTCATCAATGTTGTTGTTTTACACATTAATCTCTTCACTTGTTGCCAGTGATTAAAGGGAATGCTTGTGATGTTGCTGGAGGTTGCGCTCCCAGGGATTTTTGACCCTAATGGTCATCCGTTGGTAACGTATGACTCGAACACAAAAATACAGCTTGCTTGCAAAGGTTTGGGTTTACTGCCTCAGGCAAGAGCCTGAGCAGGGATGCCCAGACCTTCCTTGCTTCAGCTGCCAACTCCACCTCCAACGCACCCTCAACACGCCCTCCTGTGACACATAATCTATCCAGGGAATTCTCAGGCTACCCCGAGGTCTCCTCCGAGTGGGACATACAGTATTTAAAATATTCTTTTCAATGGGAATCAAGAAAGTATTCTTACCTAATGTTAAAATTCTTTCAGGTGGCTATTTTTGATGCAAAGGAGCAGCAAATCGGCTCCAAAGTTCCTCCCAAGCAGCCAAATATTTAATTCATTTTTAAAGGTGCATTATGTAGAAATGAATGAAAAATGGCATAATGTGGTAAAATTTGGTTACTGCAACCACTTAAGAAAAACTCTGGAGCTTTTATCTGGCCGTCATCAAATTACAATAGTTGGCGCTGCAGTATTGGCTCGCAGGAGACACAGCAAGTCAACGCTCACTGATGGCAAACAGTAGTTACATCCCTCCTTCCTTTCAAGCCTCTCTGCAAATGGAGCTCCTTTACTTGAATGTAAATGTTTTGGTCACTACCTAAAAAAACGTGGTCTGTAGATCACTTAGTAAATTGGTGTCTCATTTATTAAGAGCTTAGGATCACTGTAGTCCTCAATCTTGATTTCCTAGGGTAAGGGTTAGGGTTAGGGTCACATCATCTGCAAAAATAACAGAGATGAACTCCAAAGCCTCCCAAACCAAATACCTTTTTCTCCTTCGTGTATGTCTTTTGTTTATATAATGAAAATATCCAAAACATACAGCAATAACAACTACTTTCAACTCCAAGCATCTACTGTAGCATGCAGGGTGGTATACCTGTAAGGAAGCCCTAAAAGACGAGTGGTGGCAAAAAAAGGAGAGAAACCATAACTGGCTGTACTCACTGAGTCAGTGCTCCCTCAGATATGTCTGCCAGACTCAAGTCTGCTCTACTCCATCCAGACATAGAACTGGAGGGGATGGTTCGGCAGTTCTCAGACCGTGTCTGATCTTGGAATTACATAGCAATCACCACGACTGTGGTTGTGCTGTTTCCATTACAGCTGTGACACGCTGGGTTTGTGTGACAGTTGTTGTGCAGAAGCTGCATTTGTTAATCTCAAACAGACCAGGGGTCTCATGTATCAAACATTGCGTAGAATCCTTACTAAAACTGTACTTAAGCTCAGCAAAAAAAAAAAAAAAGTACATACGCCAAGTAGGTTTGTGACCTATCAAACATGGAGTACGCACAGCTGCACGCAATCTCCGCTTCATAAATCAGAAACTATCTAGAAAGTTTCTCAGCTGCTTTTTAGTCACATCCCGCCCTCACTACGCCCACTTACTGCCATAAATGGTTGATGCAAAGTGCCTTGTGGACCTCATGCATATACATAAGCCGGCTTGTTGCAGCATTTCAATCCTGACCGCAGATCAAGGAAGCGCTATTTCACAAGCAGAAATTCAGGTACTAATCGGTGAGGTGGAGAAATGAAAGGAAGTGTTTTTGCAAAACAAATAAGAGAAAATCCACAGAGTAGCACAGAGTTGCTGAAGCCGTCAATGCTGAGTTCTTCAGAGAGATCTGTGGCAGATATAAAATAAATGGTCCAATCGGGATTTGATCCCCAGATTCCCAGGTGAAAGTCACGCGCGCTAGCCAGTCAGCCAAACGAAGATGTCCCTTGTACAAGTAGCCAGGCCACATGATCAGTCGGGTTTTATTTACCTGAAAACAAAAGGTAAAAAAAATTGATCAGGATTTTTAACGAATGTGGTTTGTACAAGTTTATGGTAAATGGTAAATGGCCTGTATTTGATATAGCGCCTTCTAGAGTCCTGGAACCCCCCAAGGCGCTTTACAACACAATCAGTCATTCACCCATTCACACACACATTCACACACTGGTGGGGATGAGCTACAATGTAGCCACAGCTGCCCTGGGGCGCACTGACAGAGGCGAGGCTGCCGAGCACTGGCGCCACCAGTCCCTCCGACCACCACCAGCAGGCAACGTGGGTTAAGTGTCTTGCCCAAGGACACAACGACAGCGACAGACTGAGCGGGACTCGAACCTGCAACCTTCCGATTACGGGGCGAGCACTTAACTCCTGTGCCACCATCGCCCCAGTTTATTTCGCCAAGTTTATTTCGCTGTCCGTATTTTCCCCACAGTGAATTGAGAGATAATTTTGAAATGGAACGTTTAGCAGGATTGCACTGAATTTTTGCCATATCTAAACGTATCCCCTGATGAAGTTCATAGTCCTGGACAGATTTTCTTTTGGATTCATCATCAGTCACGCCTTCAGGAAAACCCAAGGCTTGTTGCTTGTGTTTCAGAAACGTGTGAATATAATCGGCAAACACATCCGTGCTGCTTTTGGCAAAATCCCACACCTCGATCATTTTCACCACACGGTAGCCTGCATCCAGAACGACATTGAATTTGACGCTGACCCAAACACCCGGTAGCGCTCGCTGAGTTGAGTTGTGCTTGTAAGAGTCTGCCTGATTATTTTCCTCAGCGCAAGTGCGGCAGAGCGTAAAAACCAGTTTACCCTTTGCTGTTTTAAAAGGTAGAACAGGAAAAAACTGTTTTCTGGGTGGGCAGACCACAGCTTTAATGAAACCGTAATAGCTTTTTGAATCTCTGAAATTTTTCACGAGTTTGTGGATGACCGACGGGGTAACTTTGTGTCGCATTTACGTAAGGATAGAGACTTGTAAAATTGACGTGGTTGATCTTTTCATGGCTCTGAGCCGAATATCTGAGACGCACGGGGCATGTCCTCCCGCCGAACAGCGCCTCGCGAGCTGGGAGCGGAGCTGGTGGGGGCTCAAATTCCTGCACAAACTGCTTCACCTCCGGATTTGTTTTCATCATCTCGTGCCATTGATGCTCCCAAATCACAGTCACTTTTAAATGGTGCACTGATTCCAGCGTCTGCAGTTTTTCAACGGTTTTGTCATAAATTTCCCCAAAAGTGAATTTTCTCAGAAGACACGTTGCAGACGGTAGGAAGAATTTTGGACAACCGTGAAAAAAAAACACCCTAAAAACTCAAACGCATGTGCGGCTCCTGCAATCACCGCAAATCCATCGAGAAAAAACTCTCCTACTTTCCGCTCCCCAGAAGGTTTCAAAGCGTGCTGAATCTCTACGTTTTGACAATGAGATAACCATTCCAACCACACAATACTCGCTGCTGAATATGGTTTTTGTTGAGTGCGATAATCGAGAGGACAAGGGATTGCCAACGTGTCAGGTTTTAGAACATTAGATCTACACATGCGCATGCAAGCCGACACGATGGTAACTGATTTAATAGGATCGATCCCCGTTTCAGTAAAAAACTCTTCTCTGAAAATTCCACATGCTTTACGGAGAATCTCGACATCGTTCCTGCAATAAAACACTGCTTCCTTCTTAAAATCAAAAAGCTGCTGCTTACTCACTTCCGTGTACCATTCTAAGAATGTATTTTTCTACTCCGGAGACATTTGATCAAAGCCAAAATCGGAGACAGGAGGATAAGCACCGATGTAGTTCAAATTCTCCTCACTAGAGAACTTGTGAGGAAAGAAGCCTTTGGATGAATCTGGAAATCCCAAGGCCGTGGGGAGGTTGGCTAGTTTCATCATGAGAAAACTTAATGAATCTATGAATCTTAAGCCAAAATCTGGATCAGAAAAACTTAGGGCCTTGCAGCCTTGCATGAGAATATTTTCGGGTACAATTTTTAATTGGATCATGACTCTCAGGATTAAATAGGAGTTAAGTCCTCTGGCGTTGTGAGCAATAAATTTATAATTACTGAATTTAGGTCGCCTCATCTGCATGACGAAATCTTGTATGCAATCCACATCGTATTTTTCCCAAATCTCGCCTGAATCGGAATTTACGAAGAACAAAAATGGTGTATGCACACCGTTCTGATCTTGAAATGTTTCTGTGTCGTAATAAATGACTTAATCCGTCAGTCTTTCATCCTTTTTCTCAAGCTGAATAAAGCACTGATGACCGTGGACAGCTGGTTGTTTGCAGATGGTGCATTTAGTTGTAGGACAAACGTGGCCTGACTTGGTTTTCTCCATAGCGATATAATAAACACGCTTACAACTCATGCATTTTTTAAGCAATTTGCAAGGAGAAACAGCCCTGTCCACTTGAGGTTTGTAAACAGGTGTTTTGTGTTTTTGAAAACAGATTAAGTTTGTGCATATCCTGTTACAATCGCCGCATGTGATGAGCGAGGTTTCTGTTCGTTTGCATGAATCGCTATTACACACATGGCAAAACCATGCACAATGATGCCCACTCATTGTCTGATAGGGGGTAAAGCACCAAGAACAAAAATATTTAGCGCCTAAAAAACCTTTAATATTTTTTATGCCGTAATAGTGATGATTCAGCAGCAAAAGAAACAACGGGTTTGAACGGTCGGAGAAATGTTTCAAATTTAGAAATGACTTTAGCGGTTCTGAAAAAAATGACTATTTTTCTTTGAACAATATTTTCAAATTGAATCACGTAGCTGAATGAAACGGGGGTTTGAAAGGGAAAGCCCGATTTGATGGTGAATATTTTTTGCCACATCCATTAACTCAGTATCTGTCGCTGTGGGGTTTAACAGCCCGGCTAAGCTGATCGCAAAACACAAGGCTTGATCGCTCTCGGGGAGTGACATGAGATCAATCCGCTTTATATCCACTAATTCCTTATCAAGAATACTCTCAATTTTTTGTTTTCAAACTGAATCCTATCATTTGCGTGAGCGATCTGACTTCCCCTTTCAGCAAATCTATTTAATATATCCATAACGTTGAGATAAAACTCTGCAGGGTCTGTGATTCCATGGTTTATTGAAAAAGAGACGCTTTCTCTAATTTCACGCCGATTAAAAGCGTCGTTGGAAGAGGACGCGACATTAACGCTCCCTTCCCCCTGTTGGTTAACATTGTATGACTGTTCTATTTGCCTCAGAATTTCAGGCCATTTCATCTAAAGTTTGTGGAGATGGCTCAGCCATATTTAATATAATTTGTGTGGCCTCATCTGAAGGAGGAGTTGGTACGATAGAATTTGTTCTAAAACATCATTTGAATCTAATTCATCTTCTACTTCATTCATTTCTGAAAGTCCGCTTAAATCAAACCAATCTGGCAGCAGCAAATTATTGTATTCATTCGTATGATTAACATCGTGTGATTGTTCCATTTGCCTCCGAATTTCATCTAAAGTTTGTGGAGATGGCGCAGCCGTATTTAATAGAACTTCTTCTGCCTCATCTGAAGGTTGTGGTAGTGGTGAAGGAGGAGGAGTTATGCAGGCTAGAATTTGATCTAGAATCTCATTATTTGAACCATCCTCACTCAGATCTGAAAGTCTACTCAGATTGAACCAATCTGGCGTATGACTCATGATACAAAGGGAAAGAAAAACTACTATAAACTTGATGAATGAAAAAAAAATCCTTGGTCCTCTTCTCTCTCTTTTAATCCTCACAGAGACAGAACTTTGCCTACGATGTTAACTAGCCCGTAGGTGATCTGGAGAAGCATGTAGGCCATTTTCATTCTGTTAGTCCTTTGCAGCCGAGTCAGCCGTTGCTTCCGCCGACGTATTTCTGGATGGAGAAACAGAGAGAGAGAGAGAGAGAGAGAGAGAGAGAGAGAGTATGAATGAATCATCATCTTTTAATAAAAACTTTATTAAACACTTTATTCTGATTATGTCTCGGGGACTACAGTCAATAACTTCATGGATCATTACACAGCAGTCATCAATTCATTTCTTGACATATGGGGTCATTAAAGGTCATTTCACAAAAGGTCATAAAACAATACACCTGTCAAGTTTGACATAAGGTGGTTTGGGGGAAAGGTCATAAAGGTCAAAGAACAATAGACCTGTCAAAAATTGTGATGAAGGGTGGTTTCTTCATCTCTCTCAGGTGCTCTCCATGTCCAAAATGTGCGTAAGCAAGGTCCTTAGTCAACTTACAGTGGCGCACATTTTTCTACTAAGTTTTCTTTCATAAATCCCAAAGTTTGCGTGGAAAGTTGCTTACGCAGTTTTCCGACCCTGTTTTGTGTGTAAGCAAGCTTTATAAATGAGGCCCCAGAACTCGTTCCCTGGCTCTTAGACTGATCAGTGGCTGAATATGAATCTGTACGAGTGTTTTAAAGGCAGTAATGTGCACAACATGCATCATAATAATGGTCACATTAACCCCAATATTCAGACAGAATCTGTCAAAGCTAACAGTTTTTTTTAAATATAAACGAGCTGGCTCAACTCAAGTTGGATCAATCAGTGTAAAAAGCATTTCAAGGTTACCCAAAAACTGTCCTCCAAAAGATCATTCAGGAAATTTTATTCTATTTTAGTGTGTGATTTTTTGTGTGTGTTCTTATTTTGTCACAACATATTATTTTGCAAATAAGAGAAAAGACATTAAATATGCAAATTTTTGTGTTTTTATGCTGAAACAAATATGGAATCAGAGAAATCACATGAACATTTACGCTAGAATTTTTAATAGCTTTCTAAAACAATTCCTAAAAAGAATCTCTTTGGTGTTTATGTCGATGCTTTCATCTGCAGGCACTGGCAGGATCTCGGGTTCCTTATCATCTACATCACAGGCCGTCCTGACATGCAGAAGCAGCGTGTGGTTTCATGGCTCTCGCAGCACAATTTCCCCCATGGGATGATCTTCTTTTCTGAAGGCCTGGTACACGATCCCCTGCGACAGAAGACCATCTTCCTCAGGAACCTTATACAGGAGGTAACGCCTCCGAGAATAAAATATCCCTTTGACATTAACAGGGCTGTTAATCTTTCCTCCACAGCCCAGGCTGCTGTGTGTTCCCATCCAGAGTTTCTCTCATCACTCTTGCTACTGTTGGAGCCTTGGGTCATGCTGCATTTAAATGCCAAACACATCCCTGGATGATTTTTGTCTCTCTCTCTCTTTACCAGTGCCACATTAAGATCAACTCAGCTTATGGCTCCATGAAGGACATCTCTGTTTACAACATGTTGGGACTCAGCTCCTCACAGATTTACATTGTTGGCAGACCTTCGAAGAAGTACCAGAATCAGTGCCAGGTAGTCGACTTTTCATTCGTGTCCATTATCACCGTCTTTGAAACATTTCATGCTGTTTGTCTCTCTTTTTCCACTTGGAAAGCTTAGATTTTCCTCTTATTTACTTTAATCTCCATACTTTGATCTTCTTTTCATTTCGCCGTGCAGTTCCTGAGTGAGGGTTACGCAGCGCACCTCTCCACGCTTCAGTTCGGGCACAGAGCCAGAACCAAGAAATCCCCGTCAGTTCGTATGGTCTTAAGGAAAGGGTCGTTCGGTCTCTCGGCAAAGCCCGACTTTCTGTGTAAACGCACACACCTGCGCAGGACCATGTCGGTCCAGCAGCCCGACCCACCCTGCACACCCAACCCCAAGCCAGAGCGAGCCCAGAGCCAACCAGAATCAGATAAGGACCACAGTGGTGGTGGAGGAGGAGGAGGAGCAGCAGGAGGAGGAGGTGGACAAGGGACTTGGGGACGGGCCACCATACATCGTGGAGACACTACTCCCTGACATCAAGAAAGGACTGTTGAAAGCTTTAAGAAGAGGAGAATCAATGGGTCTTAGTGTTCAGGGCCAAGGTGATGTCCAGTTTTTTTATTTTAGGTCACATTTTTGTTGTTTTGGTCAAATTTCTTTTACTCATTATTGGTTGCGGTCGTTTAAAAGACAGAGATTTACAGAGAAAATGTCAAATTAGAGAAACTAGTATCCAGTATGGTATTCTAGGGATGAGGAACTGCAGTTTAAGCCACGTTTCCACTATAGGAGTCCTGGGAATTTTCTGGGGGCGGGCAAGGTCCTCTCAGCCATTGCTTGCATATAAATGGTTCTTTTCAGGACTTTGCTAAGACGTCAGCATGACTGTTTTGATAGTGAGTGATGTCACTGATCAGTGTCAAAAGGTGTCCTCTAACATTAATAACAGTAAAAAAGAGGTGTATTCTTTCAAAGTACGCTATAACTCACTCCACTCAGGAGAGCAGCTATGTGACATAAAAAGTGGCGTTCAGTGACCAGAAAAAACACTGTTTTTTGTGGCGCCCCATGGAAGACCACAGAGCACCTTGAATTACAGCTGTCCGCCACATATTTTAGGCTTTGGGATGTAAGAAAAGGTGATTTTAAAGCTGCATGAAAACTACTTATTCGCTTTTCCTTCCTTTCTGCTTCACCAGCAGCTCTACCAATGCCGGTTGTTTGGTGAAATCTGCTATCATTTCCCAATGATTTCCAGCCAATCAGCATGGGTTAACCACAAATCCTGTTCGGGGACTCTACCAAACATTTTCCGAGTGCATAATCCAGTTCAAAGACTCGGTTAATTCCTGAAATGGCCTAAAAAATTGTCTTTTTTTTCAGTTAAATTAATGGTAAATGGTCTGTATTTGTATAGCGCCTTCTTAGGATTCTAACCCCCCCCCAAGGTGCTTCACACACCCATTCACACGCTGGTGGTGATGAGATACGATGTAGCCACAGCTGCCCTGGGGCGCACTGACAGAGGCAGGGCCACCGAACACAGGCGCCACCGGTCCCTCCGACCACCACCAGCAGGCAAGGCGGGTTAAGTGTCTTGCCCAAGGACACAACAGGAGTATTCTCTGGTCGGAGCTGGGATCGAACTTGCAACCGATTACTGGACATTCTGCTCTACCTCCTGGGCTACTGCAGACAGGATTTTCAGGGAAAATTACTTAGGAGTTCCGGAAACAGGCCTTCAATGTGCTGAAGATGATGCAGCGGCATCAAAATTGGACAGAAATAGATAAAATAAAATCCAAGAGTCTTTTTGATCCCACAGTGTGAAAGTCAGTCATTAAGGCAGCACAAACACTTAGAGACTAGGAAAATAAACGTACAGGTAAATACACAAAGGCAAAGTAGCCTTCAGCAATTAAAAAAAGAACAAATTTAGAAAATTGAGTTTCCAGGAAGAAACAGTATAAAATAAATAGACATACAAATGTGCAGACACACTGAATATAGCACTGATGTTAGCATGGAAAAGGATAATGCCAGTAGCAGTAAAACAGTGACGTTTAACAGAGAAAGACGCAAAAGCTGCAAATAAAGATTCAAGGCACAAGTATAGAAACATGCATTTTCTGTGTACAGGGTTATTATTTACTGCTGCATTAACAAAAATGCCAATAATAAGCCCTGAGTGATGAATAAAGCTTTTCATTTCTTACCTCTGTATTATCTGAGAAGCATCTGAGAACTCGACAACACTGACGCAAACGCAGATTGATTTAGTTCACTGCTCACTTCAGGAGAAGTCAATAAAGGTCTCCATTGATCAAATTATGTTCTGTGGCGTAGCTCATACTCTACAGCGATGGAGGCGATTATTATTTTTGTTTTTTGATAACTCCTAGAGAACATTAGATAAAATAAATGTCACACAAGGATAAAGGCACGAGGACAGAGGGAAAGTTGCTAACAATTAGAAATGTTCCCTTCTCCTCATTATTTAGTATTCCTGTAGCAACCCAGGGAACAGATGCTATTATTAGCCTCCGTCCCACAGCACAACTGAATGCAAATTTTCCTGCAAGTGCAAACTGCAACATTTGCAAGTGTTTGAAACCGCTCATTTTGAAGAGTTGGGGAAGACAAAATGCTAATTTAAACACAAAAGTTAGCACATTTGTGATGCTTTGGCTAATTTTCTTCTCTCATTCCACAGAGTCACATCTGTCTGCTGTACGCTGTGCTGTACGTCGGACCTGTTGGCATTCCTCACCTCCTGCATGGTCCTCTACATTTCACCTAAGCTGACTTTTTTCTTGTGGATAATCTCGGATAATCTCCTGACTTTGAAACATTTGCAGCAGTCGGAGAACGTTTTTCGCCAGAGGTTGTGTCAAATGTCAAATCAGACTATCGTAAATGTGCACATAATGTTTTTATGCACACGTCCCAAAGGAAAGGAGGGAGGCTACTTTTCTCCACACTGAACACGAATGACCTGACACTCGACTGCACTCTGGTCCCATTCAGACCAATGGTGCCGAAAGCCTTTCACATCGACTGACTCCTACACTAACTCTCTATGATGTACACACACACCGCCCCAGCGTGGGCCTCTGGACGCAGAAGCGTTGTGACATTTTGGGTTAATCTCAACACTAGTTATGGACCCTGCAGCGCCTGAGCATCCAATTTCTGCCACCATTTTTCCTTCCACAATTTGATGTTTTCTTTTGAGTAGCGACTAGCTTTCTGCGCGCTTTTCCCTCCCTGCCTCTCTCCCTTCAACCAGTCAGGCAGAACATGCCTCCCGACAGCCACCTCGTTGTTGGTCCGCAGTTGTTGGAGGGATATGGCGTACACAGCACAGCTCCCGAGGTCACTTTTGCACTAACAGTCTCATAGTGCAGAGCCACTGATTGTTGGGTATTCTAAGACTGAAAGATTAAAAGCTTTTAGTCCTACAAAGTTGTTTGACCAAAAAAAAAAGTTTACGTTAGACAGTTGTACAAAGTGGTGTGCTTTTCCACATATGGTTATGTTTATTTATTTGGCAGACGCTTTTGTCCAAAGCGACTTACAATTTATAACCTATAGGGCATGTTGTGATCTGTGGGGGAAACCGGAGTACCCAGAGGAAACCCACACATGCATGGGGAGAACACGCAACTCCACGCAGAAATTCCGCAGCTGAGTTTCAAATTTGCAACCTTCTTGCTGCGAGGTAACCGTGCTAACAACTGCGCCACCATGCAGCAGTGTAATTAGCTTTATTAGAAGCACTAGGTTCCTGAGTTGCTGTAGCTTGTAAGATATATAATAAAATAGACACCAGGATGCTTTTCCATCCAATATTACAGCTGCACTGAAACCAATATACAGTATTCATGCTGAAACCTGACAGTCTTGTGCACTTAAATCGGTCTTATGTGGTTCTGTTAAAAAATCTGTGCAAGTTGAGGATATTTTTCTATGAAGAAAAGTGTAAATAGAAATATTTTCGTTGTATGTTTTTTTGGAATTGATTTAGCCTTAAGTTGTTTTCAACATGTGGAGAATCGGCACAGTTTGTTTGAACAAAGTGTCGATTTTTACCATGTATTCGGGACAAGTGTATTTATGCTGTTGATGTTTGAGTTTTACATACTCTAAACGTGTGTGTAAGTGTGATTGTGGGTGTGTGCAAAGAATCAGAGGGGAGGCCAGTGCTGACGTCTCAGCACGTTCTCTCTTAGCTCACTACTGCCGGTTTTTCAGAACAGAAATGTGATAAATTAGGTTTTTATTTATTTTATTATTTTTTTTTTTTGTGGCTACAGATTGCAGCAATGTTGCGGGATTAGTCAGCTGAGGATTTCTAAACCGTCTATGAAAGAACAGAAGATTAGGAGTTCTTAGGGTGTCTCGTTTTGAAAGGTGGATTCACTGAGAAACTTATATTTCTGTTTTTAATTAATATGATCAGTTACTCTGAGATTTATTTGCATGAACCACGCAAAAATAGTCTTCTACCCCATTACCTGCGTTAGCTGCAGAAAGACAAGCGGGGGAATGCTTGGGTTAGAAAAAGACGCACAGATCTGCGTCACACTGTAAGATTAACATTCATGTACTCACCCATTTAGGCCCTGGGAGGCTGTTGTTGATTTACAACCAGGAGAGAGCAGAGTGCCTCTCAGCTAGTAGAAGCTAACCATTAGCATTAGCAGCTCCACGATATGGCAGAACTCCTTCAGGGTTGTGTTTTTAGTGGAGATTACACATCAACATTGAATTTTTTTACCCAAAAAAGAAGAGCAAACAGCTGTGGAAGAGTCTCGTTGCTGTTAGCCTATCATCATGAAAATCCTGCCCCCCCCCCACCCCCCCACCCCCCCCCCCCACCCACCCCCACTCCTGCAGCAGGAACCTCAGAGCCTTTTCCCCCATAGAGAAGGGCTCAAAAAGCATTCATCTGCACTAGAGACCGCTGCAAGCTTTCCCTTCTTGCACCCTGTTCGGGTATTTGAATGAAGGATTCTGTAGTTTTCTGAAACTGCAGCTCACTTATTAGATTTCTGTGAGAACTGTACATTGTTGTAAATCAACTCCGAAACACTGTTTTGCATTTGTTAGTGCCACACTCTCCTAACATTCCCGTCGATGACTGACCAGAGACCTGCCCAGTCGTACGACAAATGATGGATATTTAAATACAGCTAAAGAGGAAAAACATGTAGACACACCTGAGTTATTAAATGGCAAATAAGAATCTAACGGTTAATTGTTGTGTGCATGATAACTGTTCAGTATTGTTCAGTAACAGCTAATGGTTGGCGCTGTTGTGGTAATGTTGACAAGTGAGTAATAAAACATGTAACTACTAATCACAACGCCAAGAGAAAAGTTTTAATCATCACTTGCATTTATTTTAATTAAACAAATTATTTTTAAAAGGATAAAAATGTGATTCTATACATGACGTATAATGAAATTGGACATTTTTGTGATGTTACCTCTTTTGGCTCAAACCTTTAGTTTTATTTTGCTCTTAACTAAATACATAAAAATGAATCTTAACAGAAATACACACAATACAGGTGATGTACATTATTAATGTTTTATCAAATATGTAAGTATTCACACATCATGGTTCAACTATTGGAAGTTGAGATCATTTGCCATTTATTAACAATATGTGACTTCATTTGGTCCAAGTTTTGATGCTGATAGACAAGCTTTTCTGTACAGATCTCCTGTTTTAATAACAGTATTTTATGTTTACAGCCAGTCCTTCATGTTGCATAAATAAAGATATGCCATTGTTGAATGATTCAGCTACAGGAGCATTTTATTCATGAATGTGAATGTTTTTCTCTTTGCAGCCAAGTAGATTTAAAAAAATAATAATAATACAAAACAAAGCACAAAACATTTGAAGGTTTGTGTCTGGCTGTTTATTTATTTTTTATTTTTTTGTTTTGTTTTTGGTAGAATTCCCAAAAACTGGCACTTCCAGTCACAATCACTGCTGGGTGAAGATAGGATGTCAACAAATAAATAATTAACCAAAAGCAAATTCTCTTACTTTTGAAGTTAAAAATCCACAGTATAAGATTTACTTATTTAATCATTAAATGGAGTCAAACTTTCTCTGATTGCTAGATTTTGAACCAGCCACCCTTGCTGCAGCTGGGCTGCTAAACATTATTTTTCCTTTTACAGACATTATCAATGACTTCCAAAGTCAGGAATGAACTTTTTCTAGTTCTTTTAAGAAACACAAAAGCTAAAATCTACACCAGCTGTTCTGTGTGGCTCCAAATGGCACAGTGACCCATGTGCTTTTTAAAGAGATCTACTCTATCTGGACACGACAGTTGATCCGTGGGAGGAAAATCTTCGTCTTCGTCTTCGTCTTCCTCCGCTTATCCGGGTCCGGGTCGCGGGGGCATCATCCCAATTAGGGAGCTCCAGGCCGTCCTCTCCCCGGCCTTGTCCACCAGCTCCTCCGGCAGGACCCCAAGGCGTTCCTGGACCAGATTGGAGATGTAACCTCTCCAACGTGTCCTGGGTCGACCCGGGGGCCTTCTGCCGGCAGGACATGCCCGAAACACCTCCCCGGGGAGGCGTCCAGGAGGCATCCTGACCAGATGCCCAAACCACCTCAACTGGCTCCTTTCGATCCGGAGGAGCAGCGGTTCTACTCCGAGTCCCTCCCGAATGTCCGAGCTCCTCACCCTATCTCTAAGGCTGAGCCCGGCCACCCTACGGAGGAAACTCATTTCGGCCGCTTGTATCCGCGATCTCGTTCTTTCGGTCATTACCCAAAGCTCATGACCATAGGTGAGGATTGGGACGTAGATCGACCGGTAAATCGAGAGCCTGGCTTTCTGGCTCAGCTCCCTCTTCCCCACGACAGATCGGCTCAGCGTCCGCATCACTGCAGACGCCGAACCAATCCGCCTGTCGATCTCCCGATCCCTCCTACCCTCACTCGTGAACAAGACCCCGAGATACTTAAACTCCTCCACTTGAGGTAGGACCTCTCCCCCGACCCGGAGGTGGCAAGCCACCCTTTTCCGGTCGAGAACCATGGTCTCAGATTTGGAGGTGCTGATCCTCATCCCAGCCGCTTCACATTCGGCCGCGAACCTACCCAGCAAGAGCTGAAGGTCAGAGCTGGATGAAGCTAGGAGGACCACATCATCCGCAAAAAGCAGAGACGAGATTCTCCTGCCACCAAACTCGACACACTCCACACCACGGCTGCGTCTAGAAATTCTGTCCATAAAAGTGATGAACAGAACCGGTGACAAAGGGCAGCCCTGGCGGAGTCCAACCCTCACTGGGAACAGGTCCGACTTACTACCGGCTATGCGGACCAAACTCACGCTCCTCTGGTAAAGGGACTGAATGGCCCTTAACAGAAAGCCACCCACCCCATACTCCTGGAGCGTCCCCCACAGGGTGCCCCTGGGGACACGGTCATAAGCCTTCTCCAAATCCACAAAGCACATGTGGATTGGTTGGGCAAACTCCCATGCCCCCTCCATCACCCTTGCAAGGGTATAGAGCTGGTCCACAGTTCCACGGCCAGGACGAAAACCACATTGCTCCTCCTCTATCTGAGATTCAACTATCGATCGGACCCTCCTCTCCAGTACCTTGGCGTAGACCTTTCCAGGGAGGCTGAGGAGTGTGATCCCCCTATAGTTGGAACACACCCTCAGGTCACCCTTCTTAAAGATGGGGACCACCACCCCGGTCTGCCACTCCCTAGGAACTGCCCCCGATGACCACGCAATGTTGTAGAGACGTGTCAACCATGACAGCCCTACAACATCCATAGCCTTGAGATACCCAGGACGAACCTCATCCGCCCCCGGGGCTCCGCCGCTGTGTAGTTGTTTGACTACCTCAGCAACTTCTGCCCCCGAGATCGGACAGTCCATCCCCAGGCCTCCCAGCTCTGGTTCCTCCTCGGAATGCGCATTGGTGGGATTGAGGAGCTCCTCAAAGTATTCCTTCCACCGTCCGACTATAGCCTCAGTTGACGTCAGCAGCTCCCCATCCCCACTGTAAACAGTGTGAGCGAGTTGCTGCCTTCCTCTCCTGAGGCGCCGGACAGTTTGCCAGAACCTCTTTGGAGCCGATCGATAGTCTTTCTCCATGGTCTCACCAAACTCCTCCCACGCCCGAGATTTTGCCTCGGCAACTGCCACTGCTGCACCCCGCTTGGCTATCCGGTACCTGTCTGCTGCCTCCGGAGACCCACAGACCAGCCACGCCCTGTAGGCCTCCTTCTTCAGCCTGACGGCTCCCCGAACCTCTGGTGTCCACCAGCGGGTACGGGGGTTGCCACCACGACTGGCACCGGCCACCTTACGACCACAGCTAGCAACAGCCGCCTCGACAATCGCAGAGTGGAACAAGGCCCACTCGGACTCAATGTCCCCCACTGCTCTCGGGACGTGGTCAAAGCTCTGCCGGAGGTGGGAGTTGAAGACCGTCTTGACAGGTTCTTCTGCCAGGCGTTCCCAGCAGACCCTCACTATGCGTTTGGGTCTGCCAGGTCTACGCGGCATCTTCCCTTGCCATCTGATCCAACTCACCACCAGGTGGTGATCAGTTGACAGCTCCGCCCCTCTCTTCACTCGGGTGTCCAAAACATACGGCCGCAGGTCAGATGATACGACTACAAAATCTATCATCGACCTGTGACCTAGGCTGCCCTGGTACCAAGTGTACCGGTGGGCATCCTTATGTTCGAACATGGTGTTCGTTATGGCCAAACTGCGGCTTGCACAGAAGTCCAATAACAAAACACCGCTCGAGTTCAGATTAGGTGGGCCGTTCCTCCCAATCACACCCCTCCAGGTCAAGCTGTCATTGCCCACGTGAGCATTGAAGTCCTCCAGCAGGACAATGGAGTCCCCTGATGGAGCACTATCTAGCACTCGTCCCAGGGACTCCAGAAAGGGTGGGTACTCTGAACTGATATTTGGCCCATAAGCACAAACAACAGTCAGGACCCGTTCCCCGACCCGAAGGCGCAAGGAAGCTACCCTCTTGCCCCCCGGGGTAAACCCCAACACACAGGCAGAGAGTCTCGGGGCTAACAAAAAGCCAACCCCAGCCCTCCGCCTCTCACCCGGAGCAACTCCAGCAAAGTAGAGTGTCCAACCCCTCTCCAGGTCTCGGGTTCCAGAGCCAATGCAATGTGTCGAGGTGAGTCCGACTATATCTATCCGGTACCGCTCAACCTCTGCCACAAGCTCCGGCTCCTTCCCCGCCAGCGAGGTGACGTTCCATGTCCCAAAAACTAGTTTTCTTGTCCGGGGATTGGACCGCCACGGCTCCCGCCTTGGTCTGCCACCCGATTCGCATTGCACCGGACCCTTCATGTTCCTCCTGCGGGTGGTGGGTCCACAGTTGGACGAGCCCATGTATCCGGTTCGGGCTGGGCCCGGCCGGGCCCCATGGGCGACAGCCCGGCCACCAGGCGCTTGCTCACGGGCCCCAACCCCAGGCCTGGCTCCAGGGTGGGACCCCGGTAACCCTCCGGGCCGGGTACTCCGACTCTTCGTTTTAACCGCCATGAAAGATCCTTCGAACCGTTTTTTGTCTCACCCTTCACCTAAGACCAATTTGTCATGGGAGACCCTACCAGGGGCACTAAGTGCCCCAGACAACATAGCTCCTAGGATCATTAGGGCACTCAAACTCCTCCACCACGATAAGGTGACGGTTCAAGGAGGAGGTGGGAGGAAAATGAATTTCCAAAATATGTAGGTTAGCGTCATTTTTTAATTCACCCATTAAGTCTAGTTATTACAGAATGCATTTTAATTACACGGTTCGATTAACAGATCGGAGATTTATTTTGTCAGAATCATGAAACGTGTTGACTAAAAAAGTTGAAAACAAGGACAAATTTCGACCTACAGGTCGGTTTTAAGGGACTTTATCTTGTCTTGCTTTTTGTAATTTGGTGATTCACAAATCTATATATTTAGTTTAAAGGGGACATATTATCCAAATCTGACCTTTTGCATCTTTTGTGTAACCATGCGAGTCTTAACTGCCTCTATAAACACTCCAAACATGAAAATAAAACCTGTCTATTGGTATTCCATCAGTGTGGATTTAGGAGTTATGAGCCATTTTTAAAAAGCTTCCATTTGTGATGTCACAAACGGGTAGAATAGAGTCACCTCTCTCATGTAAGAGAGCTGCTTGTGGAGGAGCAGCAACTCTACTCTGAGCCCCTCCCAGATGTCGGAGCTTCTAAGCCTATAGCATTTTAGCAGGAGATGGGTGGGCGTGGTCAGCTCTAGTTTGTTTTCCTAAAGTGACAGATCCCTAAAATGGCTCATTCTGGAAGGTATTGAAAAAATCCTAAATAAAAGTACTGACATTTTTTAATGTGAGAAAGATTTAGAGCAAAGAGCTTCATAAACATGTTTTGAATTGACCATATAACTATTACCACAAAATAGTAATAATATGTCTCCTTTAACAGCTTTAATGGCAATTTCTGGGACAGATATGGTACAAATCAATCTCTAACAAAAGCAGAATCCAACCTGAAATAATTAGATTTATGGAGGTGAAACGAAGCACCTGTTTCATTTCAGTTGTGTAATTTTCCTCCTTATTGTTAAAAATGCATGTTTAAAAGCACACACTCTTTTTTCCCTCCTTTCAGTGGTCTTTTCCCCAGCTACACACCTCATCATTTCCATGAATCAAAGTTTTCTTTTCCTTTGAGGCACTTTTACTCTCTCATTAGGATGCCATCTCTTGTTCAAGACACAATAGAACCTTGCATCAC